GTCCTCAAGCACCACTGTCCTGCATGTTTTTCTGCATGTGTCATTGCTCCTGCATAAAGACCTCGTCTGCTTGTCATCAATAGCTAGAGGAGCCTGTTAATCACACTCAGGTGTGTGGCAGCAAGACGCCTAAAACATGCAGGAAACTGGAGCAGGGTCGCTCTGCAGTGTTCTTCATTTGTTTCCTTCTTGCAATGAATAAACCTAGCAAGGATCTGTGGGTATAGTTAATGAATGGATGGATTTATACATGAATGTACAATGCGTTTTTATGATTAACATTTCTCTACTGTTAATTAGATTTTTCACACGTAGGCTTGAGCAAATGTATGGTCTAAATACCAGATAAATGTAGCTGTAGTTTTCATGTGCTAATTGTGCAGAACATTAGACATATTTTGCTGCTGACATTTACTAGTTAGGCAGCAAGTCTGCAGTCAGCTACTTAACTGAGAGGCTATGTTAATAAAAGTGACTTTTCTTACTTTTCAGCACTTGTTTCCGATTTTTTTCCTTCAGCAAAGAAGGATATCGTAACTTTGTCTTGGTCCAGCAGACATACAGCAGCTTACAACAGATGGGGGATCTCTTCCTCACTCAGTGCTCCAAACAGCCTACATTTTCCCTTATTTTCTCTGAATGGACTTTAGATAATAGGAATTGTACTGTGTTATGGAAATTTGGATTAGCTCTAAAGACAAAACCATGCAAGACATTGGTGTACTTAGGTTCCGGTAAAGGCCTAAACCTAACGGTAGCATGACAGGGAAAATCCATACATGCAGATCATTCAAATCTTGTTAAGAGTAATAAAGTGTTGATAAACTGTAGTGTGCCTTTACACAACAAATATGAACAGTAGCTATAATCATAGAATCATTTGTAAAACTGTAGAACCTCTGCATTACATTCTAAAACAGAACATCATCTACCAGAAAAACACCAGCAGCAATCTTAGGCTTATACAGACTCAGACCTAAAGGATTTTCTTTTTATAAATAGTAGTAAGATTAACCTTTACATTTAGGTAACACCACAAGAATGAGTCTTTACAGGTATAAATCCATCTTTAACTTGGTGTACCTTTAAAGTTAGGAGTTTGTGTTGCAGATCCAACTATAGTCAGACTCCTGTTTTTTTTTACGAAATTTTAATAGTTCTTCAAAAAAAAGAAAAGGATTATGATTATTTTGATAATTATCACAAAAACTATTGGTGGTGTTTAAATTGGTCTCTTCTGTTTGGTACCAGTACCTTCCAGGGGTATCAAAGTCATTCCAGAAAGGGCCGTGTGGCTACTGGTTTTCTTTCCACCCAAGCAGTAGCACACCAGACTCCATTCATCTCATCAAGGTGAGTCTAGTCTTAACCTGATGACTTGATGGGATGAATGGAGTCTGGTGTGCTGCTGCTTGGGTGGAAAGAAAACCAGTAGCCACACGGCCCTTTCTGGAATGACTTTGACACCTGTGCCTTAGACCGTTCCATGTCTTCCTTTATCCCTCTCTAACCATTGATGCTTCTGTGGTTGAGATGAAATCACTTTTCAGTTCCTTTGGCACTAGTGGAATGCTTTTCTAACAGTAGAAAACAGAGACATGTGGCAAAGGACCTCAGGCTGGATTCAAATCCACATCGAGGACTAACAACTCCGTACATGGGTCATGCGCACTGACCACTGTGCCACCTGCACACCCTTAGATGAAATCACTTTAACCTGAGTGACCCCTGTCAATAATTTTCCCACATGCTTTGTCTCAACAGTAGCTACCTCTTGCCTGGCATTCTGCTGTAGTGGAATCTTGGCTGCACTGCAATTCCTGGCAACCTTATCTCCTCAGAAGATACCTTTGGTCCTGTCTTAGGATGGTTAATTCTGTCTCTTAGGCTAAGTTCACACTGCAGGCCTTGACACTCAATTCCGATTTTTTTTGCGAAATCCAATTTTTTTGCATTGCCGTTCACATTTCAAAATATATGTGACTTGTATGTGATCTGTGTGAACTGCAGTCATACAACCTAAGTGTCCAGCATGACAGTAGAGGACGTAATGACGTCACAGGCGAGCGTGCTCTGTGTTTACGGAAGTAAGCATGGATGAGTACTGGAGAACATCTAGCGATCATTCACAAAATTAAAGACTCAATCTTTCCAAGATGGTTAAACACAAATACCACTCTCCGCATTATCTTGCACCGTTGTTGTTGTTCTTGCCTCTTCTGCGTAGGAAGATGCAAAAGAGTGACCTTTGTCAGGTATTAATGACGTTTAGGTTGGATGAATGCGACCTGGCCATTCAGACACAGGTCGCATTTGAAAAGATCTGATTCGTATTGGATTCAGGACCGCATAGCCAAGCAGCCTGGGTCGCATTGGAAAAAAATCGGATCTGTGTTGTTCAGACAGCCATGAAAAGATCAGGTCACATATGGGCGAAAAAAAAAAAAAATCCGACTTGGATCACTTCAGGCTGCAGTGTGAACGTAGCCTTAGACATAACTATTGAGCTTCTGAAATCCTTTCCTGCCTATGCTCTGTCCACTCAAACCATACACTGTGCGTGAAAAAGTTGTTCCCATTCCGCCTGGTTCTGTTTGAGGTTTCTCTCAGTTAAAGCAGAGCTCTCCTCTCCACTGTCGCCATATGTATGCCCAGTGTGTGAGCGATTTCTGGTAAGTCAACAATACAATGCAAGTGACTGTCCACTGTCACTACATGCTTATCCAGCTGAGACAGCTGCTCTACTACAACATATTGTGTGATGGAAAAGTGAAAGGTAAAAGAGGTGAGTAAGTTATAAAAACATTGCAGAAAGCTGCAGCCAATCAGAGGAAAATGATGCAAAGACATGAATGTGGCCAGAGTCACTTATTCCAGAGAGACACACAATAATCCAGGACATGAACCACAACAGTTTAATTCCTTTTACAAGGCTAAATAGAGATGTCGGTAGGGGTCAACAGTCATTTATTTTAATAAAAGAAAATCTTGCATTTAATTTGAAAATCAAGATCTAGTGTGATCAAGCAAAAGCTTATTATGCCTCAAGTCATTCAAGTCATTGACGATTAACAGAGAAATCTCGTCTATCTGTTCTTAGTCCACTGGGTTTTATCAAACCCAAAGTCAGCGCAACCATCCAGGATGATATTAAGTTTAAAAGAAAAATAATTAATATGGGCTTTTATTTGCTTCTTGATCCTACACAGTTTATGTGGAAAGCTGGACTATATTTTGTTTTAAACAAATTTTGGAACTGATGAAATCAACACATTTGAGAAAAAAAAATACCAAATGATTGCATTTTCTTCTCAGTTGCTATTGTTTGCTGTAGAGGTCTCTTACTCATCCAGACTGTAGATCATCTTAATATTTGTCAATATACCTTGAAAAGGATGCAATTTGATTTTAGAAAACATTCTACTCAGTCAGTTTTTTGTTTATTTTTAGAAAACGTCAAACATCAAAATTGCCAGACAGTGTCCTGGTAAAAAAAAAAAAAAAAAAAGTGTGACACCACTGATAACCAGCAACTGCTGACCAAAAATTTTAGTTTTAACTTTTATCCATATACTATGAATTGAAAAAGAATTAAATGTCATGCTAGCAAAAATCTTGGGGTACCACAGGGGTCAGTGCTAGGTTCAATGCTAATTTTAGTTTTTTTTTTTTTTTTTTTTACCTCCGACAAGTTATGTTTTCGGTCGTGTTTGTTGTTTTGTTTTGCAGGATTTAATGAAAATTTCTAAACAGATTTTATCAAAATCTTTCCTCAAGGAACAATTTATTACATTTTTGTGATGATCCAGATCAAAATCCATACTGTATTACAGGATGTTTTTTTTTATTATTCTTTAACATTGTGAGATAGGGAAGATTTGGCAAAACAAGCAGTTCCCCTCCTAAACCAGAAGATGGCAGCAGTGACTATTGGAAGCTTCAACATCAGACTCGAGCAGTCTGGAAGTTTTAAACTGAAAACACAAGAATAGGAACCATGCGTCACTCAAATTCTCAGTTTACTTCTCAAATAAGAAAAAAAAACAGAGTTGGTTGGTTTGTTAGCAGAATTAGCTGAAAACTTGAAACAGGGAACAGATTTCAATAATTTTTTTTTTTTTTACTAGAGTTGCGCCTCATACCAAGGAACAATCCATTAAAATTCGGTAATGATCCAGATCATGTGTGAGATTTAGCTATAGGTGGAAGTCACAAAATGGGGCAAAATGTGCTGTTTGCTGAGGTCTGCGCTCACAAAGTGCTTCACAAATAATCTACCTGTCAAATGTATGTCCTTTTAAGGGATAAAAAACCTGCTGTGCTAGAGCAGATACTATGATGAATGTGTAGAAGCGACTAGGTTTGTGCATATCCCAAGACTGTGTGTGTAATTTCTAAATAGAGCAAACCTGAGAAGAGTGGTTAGGACAACAGAGAGGATCATCGGTGCTCCTTTTTTCTCTGTAAAAGACATTTCATCCCAGCGCTGTGTGTCCCGAGCCCGTAACATCATCAGTGACCCCTCACACCCCCACCCTCTGTTCTAACTGCTGCCCTCTGGGAAGAGGCTTCGGAGCATCCAATGCAGAACCAGCAGGTTCTGCAACAGCTTTTTGCCTGCTGCCATCAGACTGTTGAACTGTTGAACTCTAAACTCACAACATAATTTTAAACCACCAATGTTCTTGAACTTTTATAATCCTTTTTAAATAGTACACAACTCAGACATGTTCTACTGTATTTTGCACCATAATTAATTGAACTGCACTGAACCTTTCCATATTAATGCCCTTTTGCACCAATTATTTGTAAACTGGTTTTCTTTTTCTCCTACATTGTTTACATTCTGATCACTGCTGCACATTTCCCTGCTGTTAGCTGTGAGCTACGCAATTTCCTTTTTGTATACACTGTGTATACAAGATGACAATAAAGTTTGTCTAGGTCTACCGACAGTGAAACTAATTTCTTTTTTTTTGTACATATCTGAAGACACTGCTTTCAATGTTACTCATTGTACTTTTAATGGAAAGTTTGACGAAACCTTTAAAAACATCACCGTCACATTACTGAGACATCAAATAGAAAAAGAATCAAAAGCTTGACTATTAACAGGTTTAATAAAGCTGGTGATGTTGTTTAAAAAAAGGAGAGAGTGGATCACAGACAGAGAACAGAAGTCAAACGATTATCGATGCAGAGCAGTCACTGGTGGACCGGGGTGGGAGATGTCAGTCCCTGTAAGATTCACATGATGGGCTGCGTCTCCCTGATCAGCCACTGCAGAGCCTCCATTCTGCCCTGTCGCTCCAGCTCAGCTCCCACCACCTCCCTGCACCTCCGGTGGTACTCGTTCACCCAGTCCTTCTGCAGGGAGAAACCATGAAGACGGAGAAACCATGAGGACACTTGAAGTTCAGCTTCCATGTTTATCTAAATTACTGTAACTACTCCCCCTAACTCTGATTATTACTAACAACATTGACTATTTTAATGACTATATTACAATGTCACCACCTGGCTAAGAATAAGTGCTTTTATAATAACAATAAGTGTTTTTTAGTTGTATTTTTTTTTAACCAAAAATGCAACTACAATTTTGTTTTCATGTTGCTCAGTGTTAACTAGGGATGGGCCATTAATTACATTTTCAATGTATTGGCAATTTAACAAACGCAAATACAATTATTTTCTCTGTGATGGAATGGAATGAGACAATTTACATTTAAAATAAGAAAAAACAAATGCCATCTCTTATTTTAAGTGCATGAAATCTATTTTTAAGGGTAAAAGGGCAGATCATCTGCTCAAATTAGAGGTAAATGCGCTTATTTTTAAGAAATGTATACTAATTTTTAGATCATTTTTGCAGTGGGACTCACTCCAGCCTTTAGGTGGCAGTAATATGTTTAAAGTGGGTTTGCCTCAACACAAAATGAAAGACACAGAGATCCATGCATGCTAGTTGAAAAAGCACTTTTTAAAACAAAAGTTACAGTTAAGTCCTCCAACAATGGACTCTGCAGAAGCAAGCTTTCAAGGTCATAAAAAAACTGAAACCCTGGAGTGAAACGTCTACATGCTTGTGGTTAGTGCAAAGAAAAACCAAAATAAATTGGGGGAGGGGTCTGAGTATTTGCCTAGAGGCCCAAACCTGGTGCCAGCTTCAGTGTGTGTGACAGATCATGGCACACAGGTATACAGGTCAACAGTCAGCTGCACTGCGCTGGTTGAAATGCCTCCTCCATGACTCAGGCTGCAAGCCATATTTGTCACCAAACTGGTAATGATGATAAACTTTAATTTCTGACGTCAGCTAACCATCTGAGGTAGCGGTAAGCCTCACCTGCAGGGATCAAGATTATCGTGATGAATCTGTGGTGTCCCTCAGCTCCGCAGGGAAGGATCTGGAAGCCTAAATCACTGATTTCACCTCCCACGCTTCTTTTATCATCTGTCATTATAACTAAACGTTCAGCTGGCTCTCATTTACCTCTTTCTGTGTGAGCAGCTCTGTGTTCATCATTTTCACTTGGATGGGAACCAAAGTCAGAGGCTCGAATGTCAGACTCCCCCTGTTTCTGTAGTTGTACTTTTAAAACAGAAGAACGAAAGAAAAATTACAGCAAATAATGACTCAGGATGAGTTTAACGGTACTTTAAAAGGTTATTTTGTTTGCAAATGTGTTGTTACTTTGGGTTTAGCAGGAACAACAAGGACCACATTTTCAATGCGAATCCCAAAGGATCCATCTTCATAGTATCCAGGCTCTAGAAAGATGACATAAAAAAGGAACAGATCTTATATATGAAAGATCTTAGATATAAAATATAAAAGTCACTACTTCTCATGGCCTCAGATTTATAGACTTTTGTCAGTAGACTTGTCCTGTCAGATCTCCTTAATGTGTTTAATACAGTTGATTGCAATACTCCTTAAAAAGGCTCTGACATGCTGTAGAGTACCTACAGATTGAACCTGTTGTGAATGAAAGCTATTAAAACCGATTTGTACTTTTGCTTTCAAACAGGCTATAAATCATAAATCATTTCAACATAACACAAACAACAGATATAACTGAATGAATTGGGCATAATATTAAGTGCGTTCCATACAATTCATGTTAAGTTTGCATCAAAAGGCATCAGCTGGAAACCAAACCTTGTCTGTGTGTTGGTTTAAAAAAAGCCAGAGTGGAAATAGACTTTTTACAATAAAAATCAGAAGCACATTTTAAATAACTTTGACTGTGTTTGTTACCAGACAATTTAAAAGACTCAAACCTATAGTAAACAAATTTCAAAGGAAAAAGGAAAAACAAAAGTCCTTCAAGCAAAATCCTCTATTTTTTCCCACTAGTCTGAAAAACAAGGTATTTACCAGCATTGCAGTCACAGTAAGATGGATCATACTGTAGAAGGATTTTGATGTGAATCCTGCTAAAGTAGGAAAATCGTCACATTTGAAGAATTATTTTTTAAATTCATTCAAGTTCATTTTATTAACTAAACTAATTGAACTAAATTTGCTATAAATACAACAGAAAGCTTTAAAGGTATAGAGGAAGATATTTTATTTTTGGTTGGATTATCTAAATAAGGGGTCCTCCTACTGTAATTGTCAATCATTCTGCTGATATGTCCTATGTGTTCGTCAAGTTTTTCTGCGCATGCGCACTTTCAGGCATATATCTGTAGTGTGCTGTAGTTTCAGACAGTGATTGAGGCTCACCTTTCTTACAGCAGTTCTTTGAAAATGGCAGAGGTTCGTAAGTGAAAAGTGTCTACGAAGAGTATGAGAAGAAAAGAAAGGCCTCAGAAGGGCCCAGAATGCTTTGCACAGAGAGATGGTGCAGGGACCATGCGGTGGAGGAGGTGTTACGTGACCAACGGGGAAGTGATCATCTGTCCGAACGGTCAGATAACTGAATTCACTGTGAAGTCCACTATATAGTCACCGCTCTATATAGTGCATGAGGTATTTAGGTTTTAGTGCGGATGTTCAGACCCATTAAGCTTGTATGAGCTATGAGAACAGCAAGTTTTAAACAGAGCGTGCACGTGGAGAAATGGGCTTGTGCACGCAGATACAATTTTTTTGTCTTTTAAAAAATTTGAGAAAAGTCTCCACAATGCTTTAATAGAGCATGACTTGCTGAAAAAAACACTGTTTACTATCATTTTCTAAAAAGGAAAGAAATTACCAAAAGAACTTGACATGTTTTTTACAAAGACTGTTTAGGGATTCTAAATATAAAAACTCAAACCTTAGCAATTCAAACCATTGAATAAAGATAAAATATTGTTAATTCCTGGACCTGAGCATTGCAGAGATAATCATCAATAACACCTTCTCCCTCCCAGTGGCGTACCATCACTGACGATCATGCCAGGCTCCAGAGGTTCATCAGCAAAGGTTTTGTAGCTGATGCCGCAGGGCCCCTCATGGACATTGAGGAAACAACCAACCCCATGACCCGTTCCATGAAGGTAGTCCAATCCAGATTCCCACAGAGCCGCACGGGCAAACGAGTCCAGAAGATGGCCTGGAACAGACGGAAACGTTTAGTCATGGGAAACAGGCTATGCACTAAATGATGTCAGGATATATTTGTTTGCACTTCAAGACACATTTTCCATCTTTAAGAAAAACAAAAAGAAAAATCGTCTTTGCGTTGACAATTTTAATATGAGCCATATAATCTAGAGTGTCATCTAGGGCAGCAATAGTTCTAAGAAATATATATATATATGTAGATTTTTTGCTAATATCGGAAGGTTTTTGCCCTTCGTAAACATAAAAAATAGAGAAGCCTTTTTAATCCTAGCCGGCCAATAACAGCTTAAGTGTAAGTGTGTCTGATCTACAATTTGTTATCACAGATGAAATACATTTTGTAAAGCCCCCCAACATTTCTAATTAGATTACTACTTTTTTTTTTTTTTTTTTTACGCTTCTCAATTGCATTAATCTGCTAACAGAGCTAACTGATGGCTTACCGAATTAGCTTTTTGCAAACTTAAGAAACCGTCAGCAGAACGTTCATCTTTGGCTACATTATATTTCAGTAAATCTATGTCCCCTAATGCAACAAATAAGCATACCTAATTAGGCATGCAATTAGCTTACTAATTGTAAACCTGAAAATGTATTAGTATAGAAATGCAGCAGGACTCTGGGGCACAGAAAGAGGACTAGCATTGTGGGAAATGGCTGAAACATATCATGATGTAAGCATTTCATATCAATCAATAACAATAGTTAATTATCTATATTTATTTACGTATTTGTACCTATTGAAGTAAAGACCAAAGAATGAACTTAACTGTAATAATAACCTCTTTTAAACTGAACTTTTAAAAAGATGTCAGCTTAGCTTGGCGGTGACAGGTTGAGAGCTAAATCCTTTCCTATGTGTATATCTCCCACAATGCTGTGCAGTTCTGGATCAGATTTCAGTAAATTATGGTTCATTAATTGAACGTATTTCTACCAATGTTGATCAGGTGTTTATAACTATATAAAGTGTTAATTTTATTGCCCAGCCCTGAGGAGGGCCTCTTCCAATGCAACATTATTCTAAAAAAAGCCAATATTTAGTAGTTCTTATGCTGCCAGCTGGCGAGGTAAAAATTAATCAATGAAAATTTATGTTGAGACCAAAACATATTTTCTGCTATATGCTATGATTTCACCTTTAGTTCCATTGGGGAAAATGGCAGCACTGACAGCTATGTGTCCCTTGAGCACATAAGTGAAGCATTCCTGTGGGGGTGAAATGTGCAAAATAAATAAGATGGAGACATTCAGTATAACAGACACAGTTAATGAAACCATATATTGAAATTATTTTGATGTCAATAAACAGGTCAACCTTCTCAAAAGCAGAGGGTGTCCCAAAGTGCATGGTACGTGTGACGTCTGTGGTTCCATCGCTGTGAAACATACAATAACTCTGAATATCATGCAAAAGTTAATAAGGAAAACACCCTTGGTATTTGCCATGTTAGATATAATTAGATTAGGCAGGTAGTTCTATAAAAAGGTTGGATGGTGATCAATAACTGAGATATAGAGCATCATATTTACATGTATTGAGCTCCAGAGTCGATCAGATAAACTTCATTCACTGTGAGAGTTCTATTGGTTTCAGGAAGGGGCCTGCATTAAAGAAAAGAGTGTTAACTATTTTAATGGTCTAAATAACACAAACATTTTTAGCTTGCATGCTTCATCTTCTGGTTGACCTGTAATGTATGATGGCTCCGTTTGGACCCACGCTGGAGATAGTGGGGAAGCTGAGGCCAACAAAGTCTGCTTGCTGACTGAAAGAGAAAGGAAATCTAACTCAGCACATTCTGCATGTGGCGTGTTTAGATCTATACACTTGAACAAACTGAACCACTGCCATAAAACAACTCAAATGAAACAGTCTTATGAAGAATTATATTGATAAATTTTCCAAAGAAAAAACAAAGAAAATTTGTTTTTTATTGCGATGCTTAAAAACGTAATTTTTTCCGACACTCTTAAACACTCAATAATCCAGTAGACAGCGTCATTACTTCTGATCAAACTTCTCATTTTAAAAACAGCCTTTAATAGGAATCAGGGATCAAATCTTCACACTTTTCCAGATTAACATTTTCCCATGAAAGTTGTTCACAGATAAATCCTGAAAATTGAGGGTTTTTTTTTATAGTTTTTTTTATATTTTACTTTAAATCAGATGAGAAGGAAGGAAATAAACAAGGAAGGAAATGAGGCAAGGAAGTATATAAGAAAGGACAGAAGGAAATGAGAGAGGAAGGAAAGAAAATGTACAAGAAAGAAAGAAAGAAAGAAAGGAAAAAGGGAAGGAAAGGAAAGAAAGATTGTTTCCTCACAGTCCTTTTATTTTTAACCAAAGTCCACATTTCTCTGCACTGCAGATTCCTCAAGAACCAAATAAACTAAATTGAAAAAGAACAAAAAAAAAAAAACAATCCACCTGCGAAGTTCCTCTGCTTTATCGGCTGCAGAGATCTCAGTCACGTTGCCTTGGGGAATCTATAAGTCACCAGAGCAAAGACAAGTGGGGTTAAAAAAAACAACCCTCCCACACTTTAAAACTTAAGTGGCATTAAGTCATGTACAAGCATCTACTTGGAAAGAGTGTTCCCAGTTTTAAACAATTACTGTTAAAAGATGCAATCTTGTTCTTTTTTTGTCAGGCTTGCGTCTGCAGAAATATATCTAAGGTTAAAGTCCTGATGTGAGCCACATGCAACAAGTGTAAAAAGAAACCAAGGAGCTTTTACTACCGATTAAAAAAAGGATTTAAAACATTTCAACATACAGATCAGAAAATATTATAATTTATTGTTCCTTATCAAACCTTCTGTTAAAGTCTGGGATCTTTAACATATTTACTTCAATGATAATTTGAACAAAAACACAAAAATACCTCCTTTTCCAACCAGGCAAACAGTTCACACAGAGCAACCGCATCCTTGATCTGTTGGTGGAAATAAAACAGGTTAAAATTATTACTAGACAGAACTGGACTAATGATGATTTGTATCTATTACATATTACACATCTTAAAAGCTCTTACATGGGCCATTTTCATTCCTTTGATCTCTGTGACATTCTTTACAGCTTTAGCCAGGCAGAGCGGAGTGTAGGGAATTGGAGACCTGTGAACCTAAATGACAAGAAGAAATATTTAACAAGAGGTTAAAAAAATATTTCAACCTTTATTGTCAGCCTTTTGGTTTGTTTAGTTGAACCAAAATATAAACAGAAAATGTGCCCTTAATGCAAAGTGCCAAAAGTTCTGCAATTAATTATTTATACATCAATCTAATGTAGCAAACATAGGAAAACATAAAATAAAATCAATTTATTATGAGACGAGACAGTTATCTCAGCATTTATTTAATTCTAGTAAATATATTTTGAATAGTTTGATCCCATCTAGTTGTAATGCTTCTATGCTACACTGCACCAAGTAAATCATTTAACTGTCACTGCTGCTCGCCACATACATCCAAACATCCGATTGGGTAACTTGCAAACCAACCCAAAGTCTTAGCAGCATCAAATCCACCAACAACCATTTAGGTTAAAACTGTTTTCAATTGTTAAATGTTTAAATAATTTGAGAAATGTTTACATCTGACTAACTGACAGCATTCTGTAATTATTCCCATTTCTATTATTCCAGTGTGCATGAAAATAGTAATGTGCCTCCAAGTTACCAATTTCTCCACTATGTTCTACTTCTCAAAAAGGTTCAGACAGCAGCTTCTTTTAAAACGATATGTTCACTGCTGTCCAGTAGAATTTATATTGCAGATCTTGCTGGCTGTTTAAATTAATTCAATTAATTCATATAGCATGAATTGACAACATATGTGAACTCAAGGCACTTTACAGAGACTAAAACAGTAAAAACATCGGACGAACGACATTGCTTTCAAACATGTTTGAAAGCAATGTCGTGTTGTCTAAGCAAAAACAAGCTTGGTTAAGTAAATTAAACAGTACTATGTGGCAAAGTTATGGACTCATAAGTAATATATGATCACCTAAAAATCTGCATCTTGACCAATTTGATGAGAAATCAAATATGTATTTTGTTTTAGCATGTCACAGCTACCAACATCTGCTGGCTGGGTGTTAATAACTGTAGGCGTTGAGTTATTTTGTTTTAGAAAAGCACCAAGTTGAAAATGCATCTTGGCCTGAAGTGAACTGGGAAAACGGATGTTGTTTTTCTGGTCTTTCCTAACCCAAACTGGAGCGTATACGAGTCTGAATTGAGAAACTCATCATAAATTAGGAACAGACTTTCATTTCTACGCGTCCGGTGTAAATTAATTTTACCGTTTAAAATGGAAAGCTGTAACAAGTAGCATGTGCACGCCGCTTATGCGTCTGGTGTATTCACTATTTAAGCTCCAAAGTTAGGGGGCGGGGTTAACGCGAATCGAGTCGCCACCTACTGTATCAGAGTATGTTCACAACCTGTGGATCACAGTCTCTGTAATCGATTTGCTTCGCCTTAATGTGCAGGGTGACCAATCAGGTGTTCGATAACCCCGCCCCCTAACTTTGATGGGTGAGTTTGACAGATTCTTTTATTGGTTTCGATGCACTGCGACACAGGACCATGAAATATTTAAATGCACACTGAAATAATCATATATTTTTTTTTTTTATAAAATGAAGACGTATTTTATTAAATTAATGACACATTTATATATTTAATTCCTTATTTATTTAATGAATTACACATTTAATTAATTGTTTATCGCTGTATTTACTTATTTAATTGTGGCACTTTATATTTATGACGTGGTTTTAATTAATGAATGACACATTTATTTATTTAATTCCACATTTAATTAATTATTGACACATTTAATTATTTATTTAATGCTGTATTTATTTAATTTTGGCACTTTTTATCCTCCATAGACACAAAGTACCAGATCTAACAATAGATGCTGGTGTGAGAATGTAAAGAATCAATTGTGCCTACTTGGTAAGTATTGAGCTCAGATAACATTCAGCCAGTTATAATAATTTTGTCAAGACGTCCAGAGCAAACTAAAAAGTTCTAGCAGTCTTTGCTCACCTTGGGAATGGCCTGTGTGAGAGCACAGCTGGCCTTGTCACAAATCCACACTTTATCTCTGGGTCCGAGCGCAGCACAGATCGCCTGGAGCTCCGTGTAAACAGACTCATACGGGAACGTCTGGATGCTCAGCTCAGGTAGGCTGGGGGAGTCCAGTTGCAGGTGGTCCCTTACTACAGGGTCAGAAAGGCGCTTCAGGTCCACAAAAAGCCTAAAAGGAGAGATTGAGGTGGTTTAAAGATAAATTCTGCTCCCTCTAATCATCTACTCTAATTATCTAATAATGATATAGAATAAATGCAGCGGGAAAACTGGTTACTTCTACAGTGTGGTGTTTATGTTTTTGCTTCTCTTATTTCTTATCTCTTAGCTTGCATTTGAAAATTTTAGACCGTCACACATTTTAAATATCAGACAAACTTAAAAAGTCATCCAGCTTCCTAAGAGCAGCAAGGTCTCCCCACATCATCACACTACCACCACTTCTTCTTGGGGGCCGGTTCTATTCTGAAAGGTCAGTTTTTTGCCCAATAAGACTGAGAAAATTAATCAGATTAATTGTGATAACCTGATTAATAAAATAATTATCAAATATTTAGTGATGGATTAAACATTAAGTGATGTAGGCACAGTCTAAAACCTGATGTTTTCTGAGAGAACCAAATCAGAGCAGAAATTAAGCCTAAACTCTTTTATGTCTGCATAAATGCCCTCTCCAGAACTCCTGGCACAGTTTTAGCTTCAACTGCAAAAAATCCAGGAGAACAATCCTCTAAAGCACCGCTTGCTATCTGATTATTAATCCAAAAAAATATAAACTGTTTAACAGATTAGCATAATAATCAGTTGGTGCTCGAATGTTAGATGTGAAGGATAAACGTTTAACAGAAGCTCCTCTTTAGTCTCATCGTTTGCCGTGATGAGATTTGCTAAAAGTCTAGAGGGATAGACCAGTTTGATACAAATGCAGATGGGCCTTCATGTGGGGACTGAGACTCTGAAACAACACAAATCATATAATTACAATTTAGTATTTTATTTTTAATCGTGAACAGAGATGTTAGCGGAGGCAAATAAGGCAAGATTTACTCATGGGATGGTTATGACTGTTACATGTTTGATCTGTTTGGCTCCAGCTGGAATTCACTGGAGTCCTACAAAACACACCTTCCAGGCTAATAGAAGTTGAGGACTATTTTCTATTATATATTCATTTAGATCAAGTCTTAATATGATGCTTTTTATCTGGCCTGCCTTCAGTTGTCAGACAGGTTCTCAATTTCCTCCTTTATTTCTTGGTTTGAGCGCAGATAAGCAGAACAGGTTTTAGATATTAATGCTTTTAATCTGTGCTGTGATCCTATTTTTGTGATTCATCTGGAAGTGAACCAGTTAGGATTAAAAGTAAACACTTGGGTATCATTTTTCAAACAAGAAATATGCTTTTCATAAACAAAAAAAGCTAAAATCAGTACATAAAACTTTGTCTCCATAAAAAAAAAGAAAAAAATCAGAACCGCCTTTTATCTGCAATTAAAATCATGTGACATCTTTAGCAGAATTCCCTGCTGAAAGCATCTAGCTGTTACCTTATGGAGTTCATTCCCACGATGGCATATGCGAAAAACACTGGGTTGTAGTTGATGTCTGCACCTCGAAGGTTGAAAAGCCCTGGAAAAGAAAAAATAAAATGGATGGAACTATACAACCAATTACCTAAAAACTTTTAAAAACACAAGTTTATCAACTAACAATCTTACTCTTTTCATTTATTCCATCTTAATCAGTAAGAAGCAGTGAAATCAGTCTCTGTGTCAGTGGAAAGGACCTTTTAATCTTTAGTCTTGTAATCAAAATGTAATTTTCAAGTTCAAATCCTGCCAAAATGCGACTTAGAATAAATAAACTGAGCATTTTATGTTCACAGAGGCACAAAAAGCATATATATTCCTCTAAACTTAACGCACAAGCGATCTCATCCAGAGCTGTGGCGACAAACCAGCTGATCTTCCTCTCAGTCATCTTGGCCCGAAGCTTCGTGATTTTATCCTGCCAGGAGATTCCTGTGTTCAACAGCAGAGAACATAACCTTTGATTTCTCTATTATTTTCTACACAGATGAAAACAAGAGGTTGTATCAACATCAAATTAGAGAAAACAGCTTAATTAAAAGTGATACTTCAATTTAAAAACTCAGTATAAACTCAGTATGAACCCATTATTCTGCATGCAGCAACAGTGTTAATGCCTGACCAGTGTATTCCAGTCCCAGCGTGCGGAGCTGCGTGCTCGGTCGCTCAGGTCGGTCCGTCCACACGGCATCGATCAGGTTGTCTGGCACCGCCACCAGTGAGTGGCCGGCACTGGTCAGCGCTTTAGACATGTTCTTCCACTGGTCTGAAACACATTACGAGTCGTATGAAGAAGTATTTGTATCTGTTATTTCCTCCATTACGTTCATCTTTTTCTTCTCATAACTATTTACTCTGTAAGCCCAGTGGAGAGACTGTGGTGGTTAATTATCATGGTGAAAAAACATGTCAGGATCTATGAAGCTGCACAAAGGTGTCTGGAAGATTATTCATTATATGGTGCCTGAAAGCACACTTTTGGCTCACACATCAGAAACTTTACGGCAGGGATCTGCAACCCTTTAAAATCCAAAGAACCATTTTACCCTGAGTCTTGTTAAGTAAAACTCATTTAGAGCTGCATATGTTACATGACCTTTAATAAAACACTTTTTTATATCTACTATAGGAAATCTGTTGCCATTTCGGACCAATCAACAGTTCTTATTTGTATTCTGAGTTTTTTTAAAATAAGGAAGCACATGAAAAGTTTTATAGATGAAGCAAGGATGTTCTTCTATATGTCGTTATTTGATGTAAAAAAGATTAAAGGAATAGTACACCCAAAACATGATTAGCGTTCATTTTCTACTCACCCCCATGCTGAACAACACTCTGGAGTACTTTTTTGATATCTCA